CCAGGTATTTCCGACGAGCCGCTATCCACCAAGCGTTGCCCCAGAAGCAGCAGCAGCAACTGCAGCAGCACCAGGTGCTGCAGCAGCAGGAAGCCTATCGCGCGTAGCCGCAGCCGGGTGAAAGGCTGCCGTGTAGGGAAGAGCAGCAAGAGCAGCAAGAGCAGCAAACGCAGAAGCAGCTGCAGCAGCAGCCGCAGCAGCAGCGTCAGCAGCAAGCAGCAGCGGGGAGACAGCAGCACCCGCAGCAGCAACGGCAGCACGTGCGATTGTAGCGATTTTTCTCCCGCAGAAGGATGCATTGAGGCTTGCCACAGCAGCAACAGCAGCATCTGCTGCTGCTGCTGCTGTTGCGGCTGCCAGGGCGATAGCGGGTGCTGCGGCTGCAGCAAGAGCAGCAGCAGGAGCAGCTGTGGCTGCTGCCAGCAGCCTCAACAGCAGCAGCAGCAGCAGCAGGGGGTTGACTTGGAGTCCGCAGCTGCACAGCCTGAGGCACCGATGCTGCATTTCCCTCTGAGCAGGCTGAGCAGTGCTGCTGCTGCTGCTGCAGCTAGCGCAGCAGCAGCACGAGATAAAGCAGCAGTAACTCTTCCTATTGTCTCTCGACAGGGACGCAGGAGATTAGCAGCAGCAGCAGCAGCAACAGCAGCAGCAACAACAACAGCGGCAGGGACGGTGTCGTCAGCAGTTGCTGCAGTGCGGGCCCGCGCTGCGGCGAGCCGTTGCGCAGCAGCAGCAACAGCAGCAGCAGCAACAGCAGCAACCACTGCAGGAACAACTGCAGCAGCAACAGCAGCGGCAAAGTCTCCAGCTGCAGCAGCAGCATCTGCACGGCATCGAGCTGCTGCTGCTGCAGCAGAGGACTTGCCGCCGCAGAAGAAGCGGCGGCAGCAGCAGCAGGTTCCGGGTGATGCTATAGAGAAGCAGAAGCAGCAGCAGCAAAGTGAGCAGCAGCAGGGCTCCGGAGTAGAGCAACAGGAAGAGCAGCAGCAGCAGCAGCAGCAAGTCGACTGGACAGTGGCTTTGTCTGCGACGCCATCTGCTGCACCAACTGCAGCAACAACAGCAGCAGCAACAGCAGCAGCAGCAGCAGCTGCTGCTGCTGGGCCTACGGGTTGGCGCAGCCGTTGGAAGGCAGCAGCACAGCCGCGCCAGGCAGCTGGGCGCTCATGGGGGGGAGTTGTAGATAGACACCCTCCTAGGCGTGCTGCTGCTGCTGACGCTGCTGATACTGCTGCTGACGCTGATACAAGACCCGCTGCTTCTGCTGAGTCTCGTTTTGCTGCAGCACCCAGCAGCAGCAGCAGCAGAGACGGCACAGGGCAGTTAAGGCGTGAGGCAGCAGGCGCAGCACTCGCTACTGCTTCTCCTGCTCCTGCTGCTGCTGCTGCTGCTGCTGCTGTTGCTGCTGCTGCTGCTGGGTTCTCGTGGGGCAGCAGCTTGCTGGGAGTTATCTCTGCTCGCAGCACAGGCCTCAGCTCAGCCTTGCTGCGTCCGACGAGGCGGCTGCTTGGATTGCAGAGCAGCAGCAGCAGCAACAGCAGCAGCAGCAACAGCAGCAGCGGGAAAGCCGTTTCTTCGCCGCTCGAATTGCCGCATGCCAGCGCACCGCAAAGTTCAAAGGCGGGAAGCAGCAGCAGCAGCTGCAGCAGCAGCTGCAGCAGCAAACTTGAAGAACCGCACCACCCCTTAGGGGCGTCTCAGATGAGCAGCAGCCACAACGATAGAACAAGTAACAATGAAAATGCAAGCAACAATTGCAGCAGCAGCAGCAGCAGCAGTACCAGCAGCAGCAGCAGCAGCAAGAGCCGGTTATCTGTGCTGGAGCGATCAGAAGTCCCCCGGCTGTACAGGCGTTTGCTGCGGCGTGTTGCGAGGGCTGCTGGGAGCTGCAGCGTCAGCAAGCCTTCGTTGCTGCTGCTGCTGCTAGAGGCAACAGACGGGTCTTCTGCTGCTGCTGCTGCCCTGGGCGGCAGCTGCAGCAGCAGCAGCAGCAGCAACAGCAGCAGCAGCAGCAGAAGCAACACCAAGAGAAAGGCCCGCCTCGGGGAGGTAGGGAGGCTGCTGCTGCTGCAGCATGCGTGGCAGCGAGCGAAGACAGCAGCAAACTGGCGGCGCATGCAAATAGCAGAAGGGGTGGGTTGTACGTACACCGCAAGAGGGAGACGGAGGGATTTAGCAGCAGGAACTCCTGCTGCAGCAGCAAATCCCGCTGCAGCAGCAAATCCTGCTGCAGCAGCAGATCCTGATGCAGCAGCACCTGGTGCTGTTGCTCGGTAAGCTGCAGAGTAACCTGCAGGGAATGGTTTAGCTGGATGTCAAGGAGGCACAGGCTGCTGCTTCTGGTGCTGCTGCTGCTGCTGCTGCAGCCGCAGCAGCAGCATCAGCAGCAAGAAGAGCAGCGGTACCGGCACGCGAAGAAGCGGAGACAGCAGCATTGCTGCGTTTCATTTTTTTTGCCTTTGTTTCCGCTGGCGCTGCTGCTGCAGCAGTTGCTGCAGCAGCAGCAGCTGCTGCTGCTGCAGCAGCAGCGGTTGCTGCTGTGGGATGCGATGTGTAGAGCAGCGCATGCATAGTCGTTTTATTTTATAGGAAACTCTCTTGTCTTTGTTTTTAATATCTTTTTAAGTTTTTAATTGAAATAAACAAACAGAGAGTGCACACGCCTACTATCATAGCTTCTAACAACCAGCAACCCCACCGCAGCTTCCCGGGCCCCCCAGCAGCAACGGAAGCCAGCAGCAGCAGGGCTTTAGGGTTTAGGGTTTAGGGTTTAGGGTTTAGTGTTTTATAGAGCAGCGTTGTAACTGCAACGATAACAACAGCAGCAACAGCAAACCCCACAGCTTCGGCCCCTATAGGGGCTAGTGCTGCGCTGCTGCTGCCCCCCTGGGGTGTCTGTACACCTCAGCCTCATTGGCAGTCCCTTGCATATCCCCTAAACCCTAAACCCTAAACCCTAAACCCCAGGGCCCCTCTTCTGTCCAACACCGGGCCGCAGGCAGACAACGCGGCATCGCTCAATAAGGCATTAATTGCAGCAGCAGCCTTTGCTGCAGCAGCAGCTATAGCAGCTAAAGCAGCAGCAGCTGCAGTAACAACTGCAGCAGCAGCTAGAGCAGCAATCGCAGCAGCAGCTAGAGCAGCGAAGGCAACGGTAGCTACACCAGCAAGGGTAGCAGCAGCTACAGCAGCAAAGGCAGCAGCAGCTAGAGCAGAAACGGTAGCAGCAAGGACAGCAACAACGGCATCAGCTGGAACAACAACGGCAGGAGCAGCTGCAGTAACAACTGCACCGGCAGCTGCAGCAACAAAGGCAGCAACAGCAACAGCTTCACCGGCAGCAGGATCTACATAGACAGCAGCAGCTGCTGCAGGAACTGCAGCAGCAGCTACAACAGCAACTACAGCAGCTGCAGAAGCAGCATCAACATTACTTGCCATAGCATGAAGAGGGGACGAAATGCTGCTGCTGTTGCTGCAGCAGCAGCAGCAGCAGCAGCAGCAGCAGACCAGTCCGAGACCTCAGAGATTCCCAGGTCGCTGCTGTCGAGATGCAGCAGCAGGAGGAGCAGCTGCTTCTCAAGCAGCGATGAACGCGCCAGCAGCAAGAGCAGCAGCAGCAACAGCAGCAGCAGCAGTAGCAGCAATCAGAGCCTGCATCAGGCCCTTGGTGGCTTTCTCCCAGTCAAGGGTGAGCAGTCGCTGCAGCAGCAGCAGCAGCCGCAGGAGCTGCAGCACGTAAAACGGCGTCGTGGGCGAGCTGCTGCTGCTGCTGCCTCGCGTCTTGCTGCAGATCCTTCAGATGCAGCAGCAGCAGCAGATGCAGCAGCAGCAGCGCAGGAATTGCCCTCTTGGCTGCAGCTGATGCTAGGGACGTTCAAGTTGTACATACACCGCAGCATATCCCTTGCTGCTGCTTTGCAGCGTTTATCGGGTTTGCTGCAGCAAGCTGCTGCTGCAGGCTCCGTCTGCAAGCGCAGCCAGCGCAACAGAAGCAGCAACAGCAACAGTAGCAGCAGCAGCAGCAACCAAGAAGTGGATTTGAACCAGTTCTCAGAGGCTGTCTTCCGTCTTTGCTGCCGCCTCTTGCTGCTGCTGCCGAGGATGCCGCAGCGCGAGGGGCACCGCATTGCTGCGCTTCCGCTGCAGCTGCTGCTGAGGACGGATGAGCTTGCTGCTGCTGCTGCTGCTGCTGCGGGGGACACTCACAAAGCTGCCGGTGGTGCAGACGAGAACAACAACTCGCAGCAGCAGCAGCAGCAGCTGCAGCAGCAGCAACAAATGCACAAGCAGGAAACCGACGAAGCCCCGGAGCAGCAGTATCCGCTCCTACACGTGCGTATTGCTTCCGCTGCTGCTGCTGCTGCTGCTATGGTCTGCTCAGCTTCTGCTGCAGTTTTGCTGTTCTTTGAAATATCTTGCTGCTGCTGTTGCTGCTGCTGCTGCAGGGGCTGTGGGGACGCTTGCTGCCGCTGTTGATGGCAAAGCAGCGGCCGGTGAGGTTGGGCGCCGCATGTTTGCTGCTGCAGCTGCAGCAGCTGCTGCAGCAGCAACAACAAACAGCAGAATTGAGGCCAGCCCCAGGATCTCTGCTGCAGCAGCACGTGCAGCAGTGTCTCGCCTTCATGCAGCAAGGAAGAGACCCGCAGCAACGACAGTTTGCGCTGCTGCTGCTGGAGAATCTGCAAACGGTGGGCTTTAAACCCTAAACCCTAAACCCTAAACCCTAAGGGGGTTCAGCGGGGAGACAAGACAGTGCAGCAATTAGCAGTCAGTTCTCTACGCAGGCTATTGCTCTTCAATCCTGATCAAGGGTTTAGGGGTTAGGGGTTAGGGTCTAGGGTTTAGGGTTTAGGCTCGAAGGTCTAGGGTTTAGGGTTTAGGGTTTAGGGTTTAGGGTTTGCTGCAGGAACCAACAGTGAGGGCAGCATTTCTTCAGTCTCTAACCGATGAGTCACCTGCGGTGCGGCGTGTTGCTACGAAGCGGCTGCTGCTGCTACAGCACAAGCCGCAGCAGCAGCAGCAAGAGGCAGCAGAGCCGCAGCAAGCTGACCAACCAAAGCAGCAGGAGAAGCAGCAAGAGCAAATGCAGCAGGAGCAGCAGGAGCAGCAGCAGCAGCAGCAGCAGCAGCAACAGCAAACAGAGACAGAAGAAGCACCTCATGAGCTGCAGGCAAGGGCCTTTGATGCAGCTGCTGAGGTGCGAGCGGCCCTCTACAGCAAACTCGCAACGTACGCCCAAACCCTAAACCCCAAACCCTAAACCCCAAACCCTATACCCCAAACCCTAAACCCTAAACCTCAAACCCTAAACCCTAGTGGTTCCGTACCGCGGTTCCCCACAACAGTGCCGTCTGCAGTGATTAGCTCAACTGTGTCTGCTGTTTAGGCAGTTTAAGGCTTAGGGTTTAGGGTTTAGGGTTTAGGGTTTGGTGAGCAGGGCTGAAGGCGCAGTGACACCGCAGAAGAGGACTGAGTTAATATTAGTTGGATTAAACGACAGAGCAGCCTCCGTGAGGGGAAGCTGCCTCAAGATGCTGCGCACGTGGGTGCAGCAGAGGGATCTGCTGCTGCAGCAGCAGCAACAGCAACGGCAACAGCAGCAGCAGCAGCAAGAGCAGCAGCAGCAATGCAAGCGGGAGGAGGAAGAGCAGCAGCAGCAGCAGGATCAGCACGAGGACCAGAAAGCCGAAGAACAGCTGGTGCAGGATCCTTTAGAGGACAAGAAGCAGCAGCAGCAGCAGGTGCAGCAGCAGCAAGAGCAGCAGGAACGGTTGCAGTTTGCTGCTGCATGCGGCGGTCTTGTTGCTTTTATTGAAGACATGGGGGAGTGCCTCCCAGCAGCAGAAGGCGCAGTAGAGCTCGCAGTCAAGGAGCTCCTCTTGGCCTTTCCTAACGACAGTAAAACCCCTGCTGCTGCTGCTGCTGCTGCTGCGTCTGTAGCTGCTTGTGCTGCTGCTGCGTTTGTCGCTGTCGCTGCTGCTGCTGCTGCTGCGTCTATCGTTGCTGTTGCCTCTGAGTATGATGGTGCTGCTGTTAGTGCTGGCGCATATCTCGCTGCCGGTGTTGGTTCTGTCTTGCTGCCGCTGTTCATCAGGGCTGCTGCTGCTGCTGCTGTTGGTGCTGCTGCTGCGAAGTTTTTGTCTGCCGTTGTTTCCTGTGCTTTAAAGGCCGCCACAGCCTTTAGTGCGCAGAGGCTTTGCTGCACCTGCTGCTAGCAGCAGCAGCAGCAACGCCCGGTGCAACTATTGCTGTTGCTGCATCAGCTGCTGCCACAACTGCTGCTGCTGCTGCTGCTGCAGGCCCAGCAGCAGGGATTCGGCGGCTGCTGGAGCGGCGCGGGGCGAAGTGTTTGAGTGAATTAACACCAGGGGCGGTCTTCCTTCTCCGGGTGTACGCGGAGCACCTGGCGACGCCCGCCGAACGGTAGGGTTTAGGGCTTGGGGTTTAGGGTTTAGGGTTTGGGCTTTAGGGTTTGCGGGTACGGGGCTGGGGGGTTGGGTCTACTAGTTTGCAGTTTAGCGATGACGTGATATAAGGGGTTTAGAGTATGACATTTTCTATATCCGGGTCTAGGGTTTAGGGTTTAGGGCTTGGGGGGTTGACGCCGTGGTTTTGCTGTGCCCTTCCTGCTACTGCTGCTGCTGCTGCTGCTGCAGGTGCAACATAGACATTTCGCAGTTGCATGAGCTGTTGGTGCGGCTGCTGAAGGCAGCGCAGCAGGTGGAGCAGCAGCAGTTGCTGCTGCTGCAGCAGATGGCGTCCGCTGCTGCACCCGATGCAGCATGCGAGGCTTCCTTACTCGAAGCCCAGAGAGAGGCTGAAAGCGTGAGCTCTTTTCTGCTACTGCTGTTGCTGCGTTTGCTGCTGCTTCTGTTACTCCTGCTGTTGCTGCTGCTGCTGTTGGCGCAACCGCTGCTCCTTGAGTGCAGGAGTTTTGGGTGCAGCAGCAACTGCTGCAGCTGTTTCCTGATAGTCTTGGTGCGTCCTGAAAACATCTGTTTAGGTTTTAGGTTTTAGGGTTTAGGGTTTAGGGTGTTTGCTGCGCTGCAGCACCAACTGACGCTGCTGGGGTGTGTCCGGCAGCTGCTGCTGCTGGCTTGCTGCTGCGGGATTTCATCCCCAGATACAGACCGTCTCCTTGAAGAAGCATGCGAGCTAACGCTGTCTTCCGCTCCCCTGGGTGAGGGCTTAGGGTTTAGGGTTTAGGGTTTAGGGTTTAGAGCTTGGCTTTGGGTGTGGGCTCCCACACCCAATATAAGCGTTCACTCCCTGTGCGCTCTCTAGCTAGATGCGTGCAGGTTAAGTGTTTAGGGATTAGGATATAAGGTTTAGGGTTTAGGGTTTAGGGTTTAGAGAGTAGGATATACGGTTTAGGGTTTAGGGTTTAGGGTTTAGGGTTTGTTGTTGGCTGCAGTGGATGTGAGGCGGCTGTTGCTGGGCAATTTGAGCCCCGCAGAGCAGAGCATTTCCCCATGGCCTGGCCGGAGCAGCAGCAGCAGCAGCAGCAGCAGCAGCATCGCCACCCAAGGGGGCTATTCTTTATGGCCTGCATACTGGCTGAGCAATACAGCTGCTGCTGCGGCAGTGCAGCTGCTGCTGCAGCTGCAGCGCCGGCAACATCCGCAGCAGGTGGAGGCCGAGTGCGGCCTCACAGCTAAAATTTGTTCCTGTCTCGCCGAGCTGCACGAACCTCTTGAAAGTACGCTGCTGCTGCTGCCGCTGCGGCTGCCGCTGCTCCTGTTGCAGCTGCTGCTTTTGTTGCTGCCGGCGCTTGTATGGCTGTATGGCTGCCGCTGCTTCTGTTGCTGTTGATGTAGTTGCTACTGTTGGGCCTGGTGCTGGTCCTCGTGCTGCGGCTGCTGCATAGCCCTTTGCTGCTGTTGCAGAAGCAGCAGCAGCAGCTGCTGCTGCTGGATCTTTAGCCCTATTAGAAACGCCTGCGGGCGCCTGTGGCGGAGATTTGATGAGTCCCAATAATCTTTGCTGCTGCGTTGTGCTGCTGCTGCGTTGTGCTGCTGCTGCTTGGTGCTGCTGCTGCTTTGCTGCAGCGGGTTCCGATGAGGCCGTGCTGCAGGAGTTGTGTACTGGGAGTGAGGGGGACCCTTTTGGCTTCAGCCCTCGCCTCTGCAGCACGCAGGTGCTGCAGCAGCAGCAGCTGCTGCTGCAGCACCGGCTCGTGGCGCTGCAGCAGAAAGCAGTTGAGCTGGCAGAGCTGTTGCAACAGCAGCAGCAGCAGCAACAGCAACCCCGCAAGAAACAAAAGCAGCAAGGAGACAGTCAGGTGCTGCGGGCGCTGCAGCAGCAAATCAGCAACAGCCAAGAGACCTACGGCCGCCTCGCGCCTATCTATCTCATCATAAGCAATGAGTTGCACCAGGTAAACCCTAAACCCTAAACCCTAAATCCTGCTAATTTCCTCTTGGTAGAAACCGCCAATGGCAGCAATTACCGCACCAGGTTCAAATGTTTAAGGCTTAGGGTTTAGGGTTTAGGGTTTAGGGTTTAGGAGGTGAAACAGCCCACCACGTGACCCCTCTCTTTTGACATGCACCCCCTATCCCCGCTTCACAACGTCTATTTTGTTGTTGCTGTTGTTGTTGCTGCTGCTGCTGTTGCTGCAGCGCTGGCTGCGGGTGGTATCGACTCTGGACGCATACTTCGCCCGCAGCAGCAGCAGCCCCGAGGTAGATGGGGCCCTCACGGATCTTCCGGTGTCTCTGCTGCTGCCAGCGCTGCAGTTCTTCTGCAACGATGAAGAAGGCATTGCAGCGCGCTGCTGCTGCTGCAGCGAATGCCTCGGATCCAGCAGCAGCAGCAGCAGCAGCAACAACAACAACAGCCGGGCTGAATGCTGGCAAAGGAGCAGCAAGACTTGGAGGGACTGTCTCTACAGGGTGCTGCCGCGGCATGAACTCCACAATGACCTGTGTGAAATCGTGAGACTTGCCGCCTCTTTCGATCCCACTCGATCCCAAACGATCCCAAACGATCCCAAACGATCCCATTGGATCCCACTCGATCCCACTCGATCTCTGCATAGATTGGCTTGTAGAGAGACGATAGTAGAAAGGGATAGCTGCAGGAGACTTGCTAGCAGATCACACGATCCCCACACGATCCCCACAAGGTCACAACTAGGGTCTCCAGACGATCCCAAACGATCCTCAGACGATCCCAAACGATCCCCCGACTATCCCAAACAGTCCAAAGGGAGACAGTTGTCTCTCTAAAACATCATCGCATTGCTTGCGTTGTGCCCGTGCTGCTGCGCCTCCTTTATGCTGCTGCAGCTTGTTTGCAAGAGCTTAGGGTGCTTCTGTCTCCGAAGCAGCAAAGAACAGGAGATAGCAAATCAGTTGCGGGCCTACAAGGCCACGCTGCTCACCTCTCTCGAACAAATGCAGGCTGCTGCTGCTGCGCTGCAGCAGCTGCAGCACGATATGCAGCTCTTCCAGATGCGCCACAACCACCACACACAGAGGGCGCAGCATCTCCGCCAGGAGCTGCAGCAGCAGCAACAGCAGCAGCAACAGGAGCAGCTGCAGAAGCAGCTAGCCAAGGCAGACGCAGCGGCTGCTGAAGCAGCACAAAAAATGCAGGAGGCAATCGAACAGTCTAAACAAGTAAGATGCAGGTTCTAGGTTCTATCCTTAAGGGTATAGGGTTTAGGGTTTAGTGTGTAGGGCTTAGGGTGTAGGGTTTAGGGTTTAGGATTAATGAGTTGAGGCATAGGGTCGGGTTGAGAGCTCCGAGTGATCGGTTTTGCGTTGCGGGGGGCCTTTATGCTGATGCTTTTGCTTGAAGTCTCCACTCTCTGGAGTGTGCGATCTTTGAATCGTGTCCTGTGCCTGCTGCTGCTGTTGCTGCTGCTGCTGCTGCTGTTTGCGCTGCAGCACGAGAGGGACTTCGCTGGGCACACGCAGCGCTGCGAACTCTATGTTGCATTTTTGGGGGATTTGCTGCTATGCCACCCGTCTATGCTGCGCCGGGAAATGGCTAAGCAGCAGCTGCAGCAGCAGCAGCAACTAGAGGAGCAGCAGGAGCAGCAACAGGGAGGGGAGGCAACAGCAACTGCAGCAGGAGAGTGCCTGCTGGACCTGCTGTGGAAGGTTGTCACTGCAACAGAAGCAGCAACAAAAAGGCTGCAATCATTTGCTCTTCGAGTTCTGATGAAGTTGCTGCTGCTGGGCCTCGTTCTTCAGCAGCAGCAGCAGCGACACCAGCAGCTGCACCAAGAGCAGCAGCAGCAAGAGCAGCAGCAGCAAGAGCACCAGCAAGCGATCTTGGCGGCAAGACTGGAAGTGCTGTTGGAGGCTCTTTACCTGCAGCCTGTGCTGCAGCACCAATACAGAGAGCACGAAAAATATGTACGTTCTTAAATGCAGCAGCAGCAGCAGCAGCAGCAGAAGCAGCAGCAGCTAGTGGAGTTTACGTTGGTAGCCGCGAATGGCTGCCACTGCCTCTTTTTTTGTTCGCTCCTTCATGCGTTTTAGTTTGAGATGCCTCATTGCGGGTGCTGCTGCTACTGCTGCAACTGCTGCTGCTGCTGCTGCTGCTGCTTGTCTTGCAGATAATGTCGCCAACACTTGTTGGGCTTTCAGCTGAAGACAAGAACAGCATTGCTTGCTGCTTGTCTCTTTGCCTGTCTCCTTCTCTACCAGGGGGTCCTCAGGGGCCCCGTGCGACTGCCTTGGGGGCCCTTGCTGCTGCTACGCAGCAGCTGCTACGGCGGGGCCTTCGCGGAGTGTTTGAGCTGCAGCAGCTGCAGCAGCAACTGCAGCAGCAGCTGCAGCAGCAACGCAGTAAACGCGGTGACGAAGATGTAGCCGTACAGGTTGCGGATGCAGCTGCAGCTGCTGCAGCAGCAGCAGGAAAGCCCGAGGAGTTGGAGAGACTAGCAGCAGCAGCAGCAGGTGCTGCTGCTGCACCCCGAGCAGCAGAGATGAGGGATGCAGTTCCTGCTCTACCTCAGCTGCTGCGAGGGCTTCGCAAGCTGCTGCAGTTTTGCTTTGCATCGCTGCAGCAGCTGGCAAATGCAGAAGCAGCAGATAGCCTCTCTAGACCTCAACAAAACGATATGACAGAACCAGAGGAAGACACTTGGTCTTGTGCTGCGTTTGTGGAGACACTCTTTCTGCTGCTGCTGCAGACGGAAGAATTGCTGCAGCCCCTCTTGCTGCTGCAGCAAAGCACCAAATTTCTTGATTTAATTCCGGCTGTCATTGCTCTCTGGCTAGACCCTCCAGCAGCAGCAGCAGCAGCAGCAGGGAGCGCCCCCGATTCGAGAGAGAGCAGCGCGCCCACCAGCGAGACGCAGCAGCAGCAGCAGCAGCAGTCTTTGTTTGAGCTCTACAGGAAGGCCAGCCCAGACACAGCTGAATGCCTTTTGCTTGTTGCTCAGCGCATTCTCAGTAAACCCTAAACCCTAAACCCCCGAAACCCTAAGCCCAAGCCCTGGCTCGCCTGTGAAAAGCAACTAAACCCTAAACCCTGACGATGCTCTACGCGGTTCATACAGATAAACTGCTGCTGAGTGCTTTAAGACGCAGAATAAAGGGTTTAGGGTTTAGGGTTTAGGGTTTGCGTGCAGGAAATGTTGTCGAGTTGGTTCGGGGGGCTCCGGGGCCCATCGTTTCTAAGCGCTTGGCCCTGAAGGCGACTGAAGGAGCCTTGCAGCGTGTCAATGCTGCTGCTGCTGCTGCCAGCAGCAGCAGCAGCGGTGGAGGCGTAGTCAAGACCGAGCCCTCAGCTGCTGCTGCAGCACCAGCCGACAGCAGCAAACACAGGAGGGCAGAAGCGCTGCATGCGTCCCTCAAAGAAGCCAATGAAGCCGTCTTGCTGAAACAGCAAGAGCAGCAGGATAATTCGGTAGGCTATCAGCCTGCTCTGCTGCAGCAGTTGCTCGTGTTGGTGTGCAGAAACTGTTGCTGCTGCTGCTGCTGCTAGAATGCTGTTCCTGCTGAGTGCTTGATGCTGCGCTGCAGCCAGAATCTGCTCTTGTGACCTTCCCTTTGGTGCTGCTGGAGGCACAGCAGCGGCTGCTGCTGCAGCAAAAAGAGCTGCAGCGGGAAGAACAGCTGCTGCAGCGGGAGGAGCTCCAGCAGCAGCAGCAGCAGCAAGGCAATCTGCGGCGCTCCGGCCGACTCCAGAACTCAGCCACCAGCCCCAGAGGAGCTCGCACTAGCCGCAGCAGCAGCAGCAGTAGCAGCAGCAGCGAAGAGGATCCTATCGAAGAGGTGGAGGCGGATGTCCCCAAGCCCAAGACAAAGCAAGAAACTAAAAGGTACTTTGCTGCTGCTGCTGCTGCTGCTGCTGCTTGTCTCCTAGTTGCTGCTACCCGTTGTCGATCTAGTCAATTGCTTCTGTTGCTTCTTCCGAGCCTCTTGCTGCAGGAGCTGCTGCAGTGCTAGACTTACCTCTTTCTGTGGCTGTGCAATTCGCAGCAGCTGCAACAGCAGCAGCAAGAGCAGCAGCAAGAGCAGCAGCAAGCGACCGTCAGCGAACGGTTCTTCAGGTACGTGCTTTTGCCTGAAGCAAATTGTTTGCGATGAATGGTTCAGTCTGAGCGTTTGGAGCCAACGCCTGAGGATTTAGGGTTTAGGGTTTAGGGTTTGTGTGCTGTTGCTGCAGATGAGTTCGAGTCAGCAAAGTCGTCAGACCGCAGCCCTTCGACTTGAGGGCCCCCTGGCCTTCTCACCCGAACAGACTCACATCTTCAAGCATAAACCCTAAACCCTAAACCCTTGGCTGTAAACCCTCATGAGGCTCTTCAAGTTTGGCTTCAGCGCGTCAGATCGCGTGGCAACTCCAACACTTCTTCATTTCTAGAAGATTAGGGTTTAGGGTTTAGCTTTTTAAGGATACTGAAGGCCTCAAATAAAAGACAAGCTGCCCGAGTCACTAGCTAGCTAGCTAGCTGGCTAGCTAGGTAGCTAGCTAGCAGGTTCCCCAGCTGTGGGGTGTGGGTAGCAGTTGCAGGCGATCCGCAGTAAATATGCAGTGGCACAAACTTAAAAGAGAGTTCAGGGTATTAATTAACCCAAGACATTATTAGTGAAATGCAAAAGAATCAAACACTTGCACAAGAGTCGTCAAACAGCTGGTAGACCCCCCTCTTGCTTCCAGGCCTCCTGGGCGCTTCGGCCCATAGGCCTGGGGCTGTAGGGGGAAATCAGAGAGCCTCTCCTGAGTTGCAGCAGCTAATGCTGCAGCTTCTACTTCAAGGCAATACCATATGCAAGAACAATAGTCAAGCTGCATTATTATGCATGCATGCACGGACACCATACAGACAATAGCCGCTAGATAGAAAAGCTTGTGGCGTATGCCGCCCAAATCAAGAGCCACATATCAATACATCTACAAACATCGAAAAGACCTTGCTGCAGCGCTTGCACCGGTTGCTGCAGCAGGATCCATTGCTTCTCCTGCTGCTGCTACAACAGCAGCAGCAGGAGCAGCCCCTGCTTTGCTGCTGCTGCAGCAGCAGGCAGATCACACTTCTTCTCTAACTAAAAGCCAATGCGACAACTCAAACAACAGTAGAGGCTTGTCGGATGTTAAGCCTCCCAACCTCAACCGACGTCCACAGGTGTACGAAGCCTGTAACCGATGCTCCCGCTGCCGCAAACTTCTGCTGCTGCAGCAGCTGCCGTATGTTGCTGCATCGAGCCTGCACTAGGCTGTTTCTCCACACATAAAGAGAGCCCTTTCGGCCTTGTAAGCGCCAAACAACTACCTGTGAATGCAATCAAACAAAAAGGCTGCAAACCACGTAGTAGCAGCAGAGGCACCTGCTGCTGCTGCTGCTGCTGCTGCTGCTGCTGCTGCTTCGCGGCGGCATGTAGCCGTCTATACGCTGTCGCAAGACATGGGTTTCGCTGTGGAGTGGAGATGCCTTTGAGGCAATTTGCGGAACGGCTGAAGGCCCATGTGCGTCCACTTCGTGTTCTGGTTGCTGCTGTTGTTGCTGCTGCTGCTGCAACACGCCTCTGCGATTGCTGCTACAGTGCGAGGAGAAGAGGCCCTGGGCCCATAACATATCAAAAAAGCAAATGAGGTGGCTCGCACTTCCAAATACAGCGATCCTACCACATTCACTGTTGCTGATGCTGCTGCCGCTGCTGCGGCTGCTGCTGCTGCTGCTGCTGCTGCCGCTGCTGCTGCTGCCGCTCCCGCTGCTGCTGGCGCTGCTGCTGCATGTGGCGGCGCCTTCGCGACGTTGCAGCTGCTGCAACCTCTTCAAGATATGAAAGGGCTTCAAAGGACTTCAGCGTGTCCGAGAACAGAAATCGGCAAAAGTGCCTGCCCGCAAGTGCCCACGCCAAACCCTAAACCCTAGACCCTAAACCCTAGTCTCTAAACCCTAGTCCTCAAACCCTAGATGCAACGCTCTGTAGACATAGGAGACCCAAGAAGGGGGGTAATAAGGGCTCAGTCGCAGGGCTTTACAAGACAAGAAAAGCTAAAGACACAAAACCTCCGGGTACAGGCGCTCAAGGAGGCTGCAATCCGTCAAAGCTGATGGTTTAGGCTTTAGTGTTTAGGGTTTAGTGTTGTTTCAGTATAGTGTTCATTTAGGGCTTGATTAGGGTTTAGGGTTTTCAAGCTACGAGATCTGCAAATGCGGTTTCCCTGATGGATCACAGAAGGGTCTAAAACAGAGGGTTCCCTAGAGTATACAGTGCGGACTCAAAGGCCATGAAGAAATATTAGGGTTTAGGGTTTAGGGTTTAGGGTTTACAAGATTTCAGGAGAAGCGGGGAGGGAGTCGTTGAGGAGCTGTGCCCTGTACCAGAGTTCCACTGACTGAAATGGTTCAGGCATCTCTTTGCTGCACCCAACGCAAACAAGCAGCAGCAGCAGCAGAAACAGTGAAGCATATTGCTTTCTTGAGACCTGTGTGCGACAGAAGCCGCAGACGCAGCATCAGCAGCAGCAACAGCAACAGGCAGGCCTACAAGGGCACGCTGCAGCTGCAGCAACAGATAGGAGGGGAGCAGCAGACTCTCACTCACCGCATCTTTCGCAGGGCAACCACTGTCCCCTCATTCTTGACAGCAACAGTGTTTCGTAATATTGCCAGCTGCAGCAAGTCCAGCAGCAACAACAGCAACAGCAACAGCAGCAGCAACACCAGCACGAACAAACCATTGGACACAACAGAGGGAACAGTCAGAAGCTCCACCGTAGAGGTGCAGCAGCAACACAAGCGCTGCTGCGGGGATCAGACCAGAGCTTAGGAATACGGGTTTAGGGTTTAGGGTTTAGGGTTTACCTGCTGCAACAACTGGAAGTGCACGGGCCCGAAGGTCTTATAGGCAGAAGAAGGTGAACAACCGCTTCGCCCTAGGAGTCCTGGGAAGCCTGCAGGGCTAACCTTCAGACCACTGGGGAGAGACAATGCTCTCCGCATCTCCCGCTGCTTCTGCTTCTGGTGTTGCTGCTGCTTCTGTTGCTGCCCCGTCTCCGGCTGCTGCAGCTCCGCTACCAAAGCCTCATCGCTGTCTTCTGAAAGCGGCTGCTGCACGACTTCAAGATCTGCAGGTAGCGGTCCTTTCTTCTGCCGTTGCTGCGGCGTTGCTGCTGCTGCTGCTTCTGCAGCCTCCATGTCTGCCTCTAGCGAACGGTAGGAGCTGCTGCTGTCTGCTTCGCTGCTGCTAGGCAGAGACACTAGAGACCATTCTTCCCACTCTGTGGGGCTGCGCAGAGTCTCCTCCACCTCCTTCTGTAGGGCATCTGGCCTTTTAACGGGGTAGTCGCGCTGCGACGCAGGGGCCCTAGGGGGGCCCCCGGAACTAGGGGGGCCCCAGAGCCCTTCAGCAGCAGAGGGTTGTAGAGGCGGGCCCCATATGACGCTGCATGCAACGCAGGCGCACACAGCGGTAACCGAGATCCTCGTGCTGCTGTACAGACAGCTGGGTAAGGTGTGCGCTCTAACTCGCTAACCCGCTAGGTAGCTAGCTAGCTAGCTAGCCAGCTAGCAAGAGCTCATCGCTAAGCCGCAGGAAACAGCCGGACACTGACCTGTCAAGGGACAGCTCTCGCGAGGGCGCTGCCTCTCCAACATCCCTGTCAAGGCTTTCATAATTCATTTCCTTGCTGCTGCTGCTGCTGCTGCCGCTGCTGCTACCTGTACCATCGGAACCTTTAGGGGGGCCCCCGCCTGCCGAACCTGCAACCCTGTGGGGCGCTAGAGGTAGTTCGAGGTCTGGCTGAAGGGGGCCCCAACCTGAAAGAAGAAAGGCCTCCGCTGCTTCTGAGTGAGCTGGGAGGGCAGCAAGAGCTGCTGCAGCAGCTGTACGTACAGCAGGGTCTACAGCAGCAGCAGCTACTCGCCACACCTGCTGTAGCAGCCACGGAAGCTTTCGATGCTTCTCCACGTGCTGCTGTTGCTGCGGCAGTAGAAGCACCTGCTGCTGCTGCTGCTGCTTCAGGAATGAAGACGGTGGGTCCAGATACCGTAGGGCCTCCAACGATCCGCAACTTACTGCTATTTGAACCGCAAGCCAAGCCGCTGCTGCTGCTGCAGCAGCATCTGCTGCAGCTGCTGCAGCACAAGATTGCCCCCGAACCTCCGTAGGCCTCGAAAGGGCTCTCCACAGTCCAGGGAGGAAACATGAGTCTCCACGTAAAATGCGGCGGCCTGCAGCAGCAGCAGCAGCAGCAGCAGGAACATCAGTAGCAGCAGCAGAGATTCTTTAGCCCCCAGAGAGGCTCTACGTCTTAATAGAAGGACCAGAAATTGTATAGAGGCTCCACAGATCCTCCTACGAACATGAGCATGCAAGATTAGTTGAAGACCCTTTAGGGGCCGGCAAACTTAAACTTATAAGGGTCTTACCTCTCTCAGTGTGCGCCAGCACCGTAGCAACAGAGGCGGGGGGCCCCACAGGTCTTGGGGTCTCCTGCATGAGTTGAATCTCTGCACCGACAGCTACTAAATGAACATACGAAAGAGGGGCCCGGGGGGTCGGTTTCCCGTCTTGCTGCTGTTGCTGCTGCTGCTGCTGCTGCATGAGGTGGCAGCAGAGGGTCCAGCGGTAAGGCCCCCGCTGCAAATACACCGGAAGACAAACTTCATCTTCCTGACCCGTGTACCTGCACGGTTGCTCTGAAAGGTCTCCGTCCCCAACAGGCTTTGTTTGCTGCTGGCGCTCTGTAGGGGCCCCCTGCTGCTGCTTAGACTGAGATAGGGGCCCCCCAAACCCCCGGAGGTAGCAGCGGCGGAAGAGCCTCCTTTCATGCTGCTGCTGCAGCTGCTGCAGCAGATCGTCGCCATCAGAAGACCATCTAACCGAAGCAAACGCTGCCTTAAAAGGGGGCCCCACCAAATGACCTTGGGGCCCCGCTGAGAGGCCCTGAACTCTAACTACTGCTCTTAGCCCAATATCTGTCTGTCTGCTGCTACCCATCTGGGGGGCCCCTTCGGAAGGATCCGGGGCCCCCCCACCAAGCGTCTTCATGCCGTCAAACATTCCGGAAGATACGTGCCCCATTTCTCCTCGTCTTCGTGCTGCTGCTGCTGCTGCAGCAGCAGCAGCTGCTGCTGCTGCTGCTGCGGGCTGGCCTGCACCAGTAACAGCCTCGTCCATCCCTCCAGGCAGCAAAGGCTCCTGGGGCCGGCGAAACAAAGGCAAGTTGCAAACAGAAGACAACACCCAATGCGTTGCAAGGGGGCCCCCATCTATGATGCTGCAAAGAGCAGGAGGCAGGCCTGGGACGGCACTGAGGGCACAGCTGCTGCTGGCTAGCGCTGCTGCTGCTGTTGCCGCAGCTGCTGCTGCAGCCTCCATAGCTGTTGCAGTCGCGCGATGCTCGCACATGGAAGCATCTGCAGAGCTAGAAGCTCCGCCGTTGTGCTTCTTCCGTTGCTGCTGCTGCTGCTGCTGCTGGCAGTGATGGGTGTAGAAAGTCTTCGACACCCAATCTCCTACGCAGCGGGAAGGCACAGCAGCAAGGGAAACCTCTTGCAGTACGATGGGGCCTCCTGTATCTTCATGCGGCAGCATGAGCTCATGCTTGAGGTGCTGCTCAGCTGCTGCAGGCGCTCCTGCAGACCTGCAGCGCTGCTGCTGGTGCTGGGCCCCAAAGTCCACCACCTGCAGCAAAATCTCCCACGGCACAGACGCCAGCCAGCTCCACTCTTTTCTGCATGCGCAGTAGCAGCAGCAACCGCTGCTGCTGCTGCTGCTGCTGCCAGAGCCGCAACCATCTGCACACTGCGCGATCGGCACGTTGCTGTTGTCGACGTGGGGACACAGCCAAGGCGGCTGAGCTGCTGCTGTTGCTGCTGCTGCTGCTGCAGCCGACCGAGCCCCTCTCCAGTCATGGGGGCTGCAAATGATTAAAGCAGGCGCTGGGCCTTTTGCTGCTACAGCTGTTGTTGCTGCTGCAGCGGGATGCGGATGCCCTGCTGCTGCCCAGAGGGATTCTGTTGCTGCTGCAGATTCTGTGGGCCAGACACGACTGTCTTTCAAAGCCTGAAAGGCACATACACACTCAGAGGCTTTAGCCCTAAACCCTAAACCCTAAACCCCAAACTCTAAACCCTCCATCCACCCTAATCTACAAACCCTCCGCTCTAATCCCTTAACCTTTAGTCTCCTAGACCCCAGGGTAAACAAAGTATACCTCATCAGCAACACCACGAAAAACCCTCGCCAGGCCTCCCCCTCGCAGCGGCTGCAGCAGGACCGACTGCTGCTCAACTCGCTGCTGCTCAAGCGGCATGCCTCCTGCTGCTCCTCCTGATCTTGCTGCCGCTATTGTGTCGCCCCACAGCAGCACAGACTGCCAGCGCAGTTGCTGCTGCAGCCAACCGTCAACCGCCAGCAGCCGAAGCCCCTCACTGCAGCGCAACAACTGCAGCTTCAGGGGTCCTGGAGCCCTGCTGAGGGCCTCTGGGCCTTCCTTAACCAATTGCCGCAGTACACATTCTGCTGCTGCAGGTCCATGGAGCTGCAGCAACTGCTGCTGCAGCAGCAGCACCTGTTGAGACACTCCAATAGGCAAACAGTTTTCAAGGTTACCTTTTTGCTGCAGCTGAAGCAGCAGCTGCAGCTGCCAGACCCATTCAGGGGTTTGTGCCTGCTCCGGCTGCTGCTCCTCTGGCTGCTGCTGCTGCTGCATGTTGCTGCTGCAGCAGCACTGACAACTCCAGTGAGCCAAGATGGCTAGCTGCAGGTCGGGGGCCCCGTGGTGCAGCGCCTCAGCAGCAACTTTTCGTGTTGCAGGAAATCGCAGAGACAGCAGAGGGATAATAGCAGCAAGCGGCGCAGCAGAAGCAGATGACCGTGCTCCTGCCAGCAGCAGCAGCAGGGGAAGCAGCCCTTCCTGCTGCAGCAGCTGCACGCCAGCGGCCCGGCGGCTGAGAACCCCCAGCAGCTGTCCATACACTGCAAAGAGGGACCGGTGCTGCAGGCCTATACGCGGTTGGTGCTGCTGGCGTTTGCAATGCATATGCAGCATCGACGCCCCTGCGTCCGCAGCAGCTCCCACTGTGCCCAAGCTGCTGCTGCTGTCTTTGCTGCAGACGGTGCTGCTGGCGAGACTAAAGCTGCTGCCGCACGCTGCTGCAGCGCAGCTGCAGAAAGGGCTCGATGCTTCCGTGCTGCAGTAGCCCAGCGATGAAGTGCATGTAGCAACTCTGCACGGGTCAGTCTCCGCGCAGCAGCTGTCCCTCCGGCCACCGCATGCAATTTGCAGCAGAAGTTCCCCAATCTCCTTCAGCAGCTTCCTCAGTCCAAAGAGCTCCCGCAGCCTCCGGTCAGCCGCTTCTGCTGCTGATGCTGCTGGTTCTGCTGCTGGTTCTGCTGCTGGTGCTGCTGCTGGTGCTGTTGCCACTGTCGATGCCTCTGTTGCTGCTGCTGTTGCTGTTGCTGCTGGTGCTGTTGCTACTGTTGCTGCTTCTGTTGGTGCTGCTGTTGATGCTGCTGCAATTGTTGCCGGTGCTGCCGCTGACGTTGCAGCTGGGAACATGGCCGCACTTGCTGCTGCTGCTGCTGCTGATGGTGCTGCTACGTCGAAGACAGAAGTAGGGAGCTGCAAGACAGCCGCACGCTGCTCCTCTAAATGCTGCAAGAGCAGCAGCAGCAGCGCAGCAAGAGCGTGAGCCGCAGCAGGCAAGTAAAGGCCCTGAGGGCCGCCCAGAACAGACAATATGGATGAAGAAGACGGCGACAGACAGGAGACACACCGCTCAATAAAACGCTGGGGGGCCCCCCAGGAAGCCCTTAAGGGGTCTTTCTGCAGCAACACCCCAGGGGCCCCGAGGCCCCTAAGCAGCTGCCCTAGCACCTGCGGCCACTGCCTGCGAGAGCACACAGCCCCAAACAAACCCCAAACCCTGAAGTCATAAACCCTAAACCCTAAACCCTAAACCCCAGAGAAAAGCCAGCAATTGTCTCTATGGATCCTGGACAAGCCGGTACAGCTTTGTATAGGACAAGTGCTGCATCGGCATTAAGGGTATAGGGTTTAGGGTTTAGTGTTTATGGTTTAGGGTTTCGCACCACTTGTCGCATTCCTTGGCTTCATCAAGGACGCCTGTGGCTTCGAGCTGCTGAACGATGCTCTCCGTTAGTGGGGGATCATCGAGGCCCGCTGGAAGGTGTAGAGACACCTGAAGCTGCACGCCCAACTGCCGAAGCCGCTGCAGGGGCAGCAAACATAGCATACAGCAGCAGCAAACAGAAGCTGTGGCAAAGAACAACCTACCGCAGCGGCAAACAGAAGCAGCAGCAAAGCACAAACTAGAGCAAGCAGAAACAGCAGCAAAGCAAAGCCTACAGCAGCACTAAAGCACAGCCCACAGCAGCAAGAAACAGCGGGCTTCCTCATAACTCCCAGCAGCAGCAACAGCAACACCAGCAACGATACCTCTTCCGCTGCAGCAGCAGTTGCATACGACCCCAGATCACCCGACGCCTGGTACAGCAAGGGGCATGGGGTGTGCATACACCTGAAGAGGGAGTCCCCTAAGAGCTCCAGCAGGTCCTCCGACTTCTGAGCTCCTGCTGCTGCGCTGCTACTGCTGCTGAAGAAGGATGCTGGCAGCAAAGCACTTGCTGACGTAAGGACCTCGTTAAAGAGCGACACACTGGCCCAAAGGTTGCTGCTGCTGCTACTGCTGCTACTGCTGCTGCTGCTGCTGCTGCTACTGCTGCTGCTGCTGTTGCTACAGTCGTCCCTACAGTCACTGCTGCTGCCACTGGTGCAGCTGACGTTGCTTCCCGCTGCGGGTCCATTGCTTGTGCAGCCTCCTGCTACGTATTGCTGTGGGTGCTGCGGTGCATCGGCAGTTCTTGAGGCTAGCTGCGGCGCTGCTGCTGTGGGGCCCCGGTATAAGGTTTCTAATATGCTTTTATTCATATTTAGGTTGCAGTCTGTAGCCCCAAACCCTTCACTAAGGGGCCCTCCTCCTGGGCCATCGATGGCTTCGTGGGCTTCTCTTACATACGGTAGCGGCAGCAGCGCCGCAGAAGCAAACAGCAGCACAAACAGCAGCTGCGCAGCTTCCTGCTGCAGGAGCTGTGGCTGTTGCTGCTGAATGCGCTCCCTGGATCCATGTTGCTGCCGCTGCTGCGGCAGCAGCAAAGACACCGACGAACTCGCATGCAGCGGCATCGGCAGCTGCCTAGATGTTGTTGCAGACAGCCCCCAAGCAACAAAAGGGTCTCCTTGAGTCCAGGGAGTCCCCAGTGTAGCAAAGGAGTCGTTGCCCCGCAGCAGCAAACCTCCGCAGACACTTGCATCATCTGCTGCAACATATGCTCCACTGCTGTTGCTGCTGCTGCTGTTGCTGCTGTTGCTGCTGCCTTCCAGCAACCCCAGAAGCGCGGCGTGGAAGCGCCAGCGCAGCAGCAGCAGCAGCAAAAGCCGCGCATGGGCCACTTGAACTCCATCGCAACAAAAGGGGCGCCGCCCGTCGTGCTGCTGCTGCTCTTGCTGCTGCTGCCCAGCCTGCTTCTCCAACAGCAACCTGCAGTCTTCAGCGTCAAGTCTGCGTCCCCCAAACCCAAGAGCCAAAGACAAGAGACAGTGCAGAAACTTTAATATGAAACAGCGATGCTCCTGTGGGGTCTCTGGCAATAGCAGCAGCTGGAGCACCTGAAGGAGTGGCTGCGGCTTGCTACAAAGCAGCAACAACCCCGAGACTGGCTGCAGCAGTACAATCAGAGCATGCGCTGCTGCCCGCTGCTGCTGCTGCTGTGCAGTCGTAGGCCCCCGAGTGGAACTAGCAGCACCAGTGGCAGTGCTGCTGCAGCTGCTGCTAGCAGGAGGTATAGGGCCGTGCAGCAGAGACCCAACAGAGAGGTAAGGGCCCAGCGCCTCCGACGGCACCACCGGCACTCGGTGATGCTGCTGCTGCTGCTGGTGCTGGAAGAAGCTCTCTGGATTCGCTACAATTGTGGGGTTGCTGCTGCTGGTGTTGCTGCTGAAGCTGCTGCGGCTGCTGCTGCTGCTGCTGCTACTGGCAGCCTTGCCGACTGCCACTGAAGACATACGGGAAAGACCAGCGCGTGGAGCACCTGAAGGACCCCACTGGCTGGCTGATGCATCGAAGCAAATGATGCGAGGGAGGGAGCTTAGTTCAAATACCATCAGAGGCCAATCCAAGCTGCTGCTGCTGCTGCTGCTGCAGCTGCGCCCCAGTCTGTTGCTCGCTGAAGGACTCGCGAGCCGGCTGGCAGCCTGCCCTGAGTGTGTTTCTGCAGCTCCCTCGGCAGCGGCGTAAGTTGCTGCCGCTGCTGCAGCTGCTGCTGCGCTGCTGTAGACAGAAGCGGAGCAGTAACAGAGACGCCTGAAGAGAGAAGCCGCCAAGACGGGATGGGAGCGGCATAGGCCTGCTTCTGCTGCTGCATGCAGCAGCACACCGAAAGCTCCGCGGCGTAGCAAGGCAGCAGGGGGGACAACTGCAGCAAACTGCAGCAACACAGAGATGCAGCAAGCCATCCACTGTTGTCGGAGGTGCTGCTGGTCCTGCTGCCGCTGCTGCTGTTGCTGCCACAAAGCATTTCCTAGAGAACTGTCACTGCGAATCGTTCTTGAGCTCGGCCAGAAGTGCTGGTGCTGCTGTTGCTGCTGCTGCTGCTGCGGCTGGAGGTGCGCTTGGGGCTGCCTTGCATGCCATACGCGCAGCCGCAGCAACGCCACTTGTTCGTGCTGCAGCAGCAGCTCAACCCCTGTTGTTCCTTCGCGAGGGCCCCGCGTCTCCTGCAAGAGGCAGCCCCCCGGTGCTGCTGCTGCTGCAGCTTCAACTGCAGCAGCAGCAAGATTTGTTGCTGCAGCAACAAGACAAGTCGGAGGAGGCACCCTACCCCAGCCCCCCGTAAGCAGCATTCCCCATCGCAGCAACAGCTGCAGCGCAGCTGAACGCTCCAAGTCAGCCCATTCCTTCTCTTCTTGCTGCTGTTGCTGCTGGTGCTGCTGCACCTGCTGCTGTGCTGTTGATTGTCGCTGCTGCTTTGGAGGCAGCAGCGGACCTGCAGCCAGCAGCTGGGGGATGCACAACCGACGCAGCTGGAGCAGCTGCCTGTCGGAGACCAGCAAATGCCGCAGCAGCAGCAGGGCAGCAACGCGTACAGCCGGATGAGTAGACAGAAGCAAAGGTCGCAGCAGCCGCAGCAAACGGCTAGAAGCAGCGCAGTGGATGAACTGTTTCCCTGCTGCCCCCTGCAGCAAGAGCAGCAGAAGCAACCGCAGCAGGAGCAGCAACAGCGGAACCGCATTCACTATTCACAGCAAAGACAGTCGCAACACAGATAGCTTCCTAAACAGCAAAACAGCAGCAGGATCAGTAGCAGCACGAACAGCAATAGCAGCACAAACAGAAGCAGCAGAAGCAACACAAGGAGCAGCGGGAGAAGGCAGCAACGTGGGGCTTACGAGAAATTCATCGCGACACCGCAGCAGCAAGGCCACCTGCATGCGTGCAAGATTCTCTGCTTCCTCTTCTGCTGCTGCTGCAGCAAACGGAGCTCTTGCTGCTCGCTCTGCTGAAGGGTCCCTTCGGACACCAACTAAGCCGATGCTGCTGCTGCTGTTGCTGCGAGGCCACGACTCCAAGGCATTCCGCAGCAGCACCTCAGCACTAGATGCTGCCTTGCAGCCGCTGCAACGGCGCTTCAGAGAAGACAGGCGTACAGGAAGGCTGCCACCCTCATCGGCCTTCTTGTTGTAGCTGCTGTCGCTGCTGCAGCTACGACGGCTGCTGCTGCTCTCCTTGCTGCTGCTTCTACTGCTACTATTGCTACCGCTATCACTGCTGCTGCTGCTGCTTCTATTGCTACTGCCGCCACTGCTACCACTGCTGCTTCTGCTGTTGCTGCTGCCGTTGCTGTTGCTGCTGATATTGCTGCTGCCCACGCATTCGTTCACTGCCTTCTTGCCACTGCTGCCGTGGCTGTGGTGCTTGCTCCAGTCGCTGCTGAAACTGCTGCTGCTATTGCTGCTGCTGCATCCGCTGACGCTGCTGGAGAAGCAACAAGCCCCTGAGTCGGAGCGCACACCAGTACAACTATCTGCTGCGGCATCCTGAGACTGGGGCCTCCAATCGAAGTCACTGAACAGTTCGCTACCGTTGCTGTTGCTGTTGTTGCTGCTGCTGTTGCTGGTGCTATTGCTGCTGCTGCTGCTGCTGCTGTCGTTACGCTTCCAGCTGAGGCCTTCACTCGCATCCGATCCACCACCCTCGCTGCTGCAGGTGCATGCGCCTCTGCTGTTGCATGCACAATTTGCTGCTGCTGCTGTGTCAGCAGAGCCGCGGCAGCGGGAACACACCGCCCTTGGGCGTGCTGGAGGAGTCTCGCGTTGCTGTGCTGCTGCCCCAGCAGCAGGATTGCTGTTTCTCGAGCTGCTTCTGCTGGTATCGCAACTGCTGCTGTGGCTGCGGCCGGAGCTGCTAGTGTTGCTGCTGTTGCTCCCACAGCTGCGGCTCTTGCTACACTTGCTGCTGCTTTTGCCACGGTTGGTGCTGCTGCTGCCGGAGTTACCACTGCTCCCACGGACATTGCTGCTGCTGCCACCGCTGCTGCTGCTTCCACTGCCACTGCTTCTGCTGCTGCTGCTGTTGCTCTGGCAGCCGCTTCGTCGGCTACTCATCTGTCCTTCATCTTCGGGTCCCCCGGGAACGTCGCTCCCTGGAGGCCCGTCCTTAGGAGCAGCCCCTGTTTGCATGGGAGTCTTCTCTGGCTAAGGTGGAGTGCCTCGAAGCCGTGAGAAGCAGCGGGATCGCGATCCCCTCGTACGGGGTTTGGTGTGTAGATACACCCCCCGCCAGCAGCGCGGCTGGGGGGCGCCGGAAACTCATCGCCGCTAATGCTGGGCGATTAGCACTGCTAGGGCCCCTTAGAGCCCTCCACTGTGTAGCTGGGGGCCCCCACGGCCCCCCGCTGCTGCTAGTTGTTAAGAAGTGCAGGGGTGTGGATATGAGGCCTCAAGGGGGAACAGCGGTTGCGAGCCGTGCAGTTCTACGACTCTCTTTTGGTAGGAAATGAAATAAACAAAGTCATTCAACAACAATTCTGATAGAATAAACCCCCCCTGAAGATTCTGCATGCAGGAGCCGCCTCCCGCTCGCTACCGCAGACGACATTGCTGGGCCCCTCAACCCCTAGAAGGGTCTTAAACAAGCCTTCTTATAGTCCTTCCCCTTTTAATTCTGCAAGAAAAGAACATACATATAACGCAAAGCTTCCTTAGGAACCCGCTGAGGGGCCTGTATGCTTCAACTGCACCAGCAGGGCACACACCGTGGGAGAGGGTATGCTAGTGTGTGCTTCTCTGCAGCGGGATCGGTCTTCCTGCGGATCTTTAAAGGCTCAGGCTGCCCCATTACGCGTGCACTGAGTTGCATGGGGGATTCAGACCTGCACAGCTGAGCATGCAGCATCGGCTCCCACACACAAAGGCTACGCTGGGTCTCCACCGTAGGCCCACATACCCGATGGCTGAAAGCAGAACATATCAGGCTGTGAGAGGGCTTACTATGGGGTCTGCGAAATTGCAGATCCACCTGCAATTAGAAGTGATGCTAGTCATGCGCGCAACGTAGCCCACAAAGGCGCAACAAGTTCGTTCGAGTGCAGCAGCAGCAGCAGCGGTAAAAGTATCAGCAACAGCTCGAGCAACGGCAGCTGCCGCTGCTTCTCGGGCTGGCAAGAGCCTTAACCCGCCTATTGCTGCAAGGGGGTGCTGCACACCCTCAAAAAGAAGCTATCTAGCCTATTTAAATGCACGTATATGCGTAGATAACGCATCTGTTACAAAATGGCCACCTTGTCCTCTTTGAATAGCCAAGAGGATCTGAAGAGCGATGTTCTATCACCTACGTAGCTAGCCAGGTAGCTAGCCAGCTAGCTAGCCAGCTACCGTCTTCTACACAGCTCACCAGCTGCCTAACGAGATCCTGCCTGGGCTTCCCTGGGCCAGGTACAGGAGTCCCATAACGCCACGTGTGGCTTGCTTAACGGAGTTTTTCTGCTCTCTCTCTCTCTCTCTCTCTCTCTCTCTCTATATATATATATATATATATATATATATATACTCTTGTGTATACCATACGTATGGAATAAATGGGGTGTTAAGTATATGGCCACCTCGCTGCAAATGTCTGAGCATGCTGTGCGCAGCAGCTCGGCTCTACGAGACGGCCGCACCCTAAAGATGAGCCTGTGAGGGGGCAGCACGGCTGCGGCTTCATAGTCCTCAGGTGTACGTACACCTGCTAGAAAGAAACCTGCTGTCACAGCAGCAACAGCGAAATCACACGCCGACCGCACAGCGGATGCATGTATGCAGCAGCTAAGGGCCGCTGGCTTCCATGTTGCTGCTGCTGCTGCTGCTGCTGCTACGCGGGGTCAGCACCAGGTCTTTCGATGTGAGCTTAGACGGGCCCCGGCGGCCCCGTTGCTGCGGCTTCCACGGATTGGCTACCATCACCGCTGCTCTCCGCAAGAAGGCTTGCAAACTCTGCCGAGTCACTGCCACTTGCGCTGCTGCAGCAAACACACAGCAGCAGCAGTAGCAGCAGCAGTAGCAGCAGCAGTAGCAGCAGCAGTAGCAGCAGCAGCAACCTAAGATTCAACAGCACACTTCCTAACAGCACTGCACCGGCAGCAGAAGCAGCAGTGGAATCAGCACCTGCAGCAAGAACCTGCAGCAGGAGCCGCGAGGCTGCTGTCATCGCTTGCTCACCCTTCAGCGACTCCTCGATCTCTGAAAGAGTAACTGGCTCCATTGCTAGCAGCCGTCCATACACCCCGAAGGGGTCTTCCCGGCGCAGCAGCGCCGCACGGATCTCTGCGGCTGTTGCCGTTCGTTTCTGCCGTCCTTGCTGCAGCTGCTGCTGTTGTTGCTGTTGCTGAGAACTCATGGGAGACGAAGCACCATCTGCTGTTGCAGTGCCCCCGTACTCCGGTGGCAGCACTACACCTTCCGAAGCCTCGAGAACACCAGCAAAGGTGCATGCAGCAGCAGTAGCAGAGCCAACAACAGAAGCAGCAGGAGCCATGGGGTCGTTTGCTGCACTGCCGTTTGCTGCGCGCTGCTTCTTCTGTCTCCTGCGAACCTGCGTAGGTGGTGCTTCTCCAGCAGCAGCTGTTGCTGCACCGGAATCTGCCGCTGCTGGACCTGTTACCTGCTGCTGCTGCTGCGTCTCGCCCGTAGCCATAGCAGGCTGCTGCCCACTCCCTTGCGTGTGGGCAGCAGCAGCAGCAGGAGCACCAGCCACAGCACCAGGTAGGACGTTGGGTGTGCCTGTAACAAGGTAACGGCATATCTGCTGCAAAATAGAGACAGTCTGCTGCTGCGAGAGACCCCCAACCTTCAGCCCAAAGAAGGACAGCCACCTGTGAAGGCAGCTGGCTTCCATCTTAGCCCAATCTATTCGCAGCAGCAAATGCTGGTCGTCTATTGCTTCCTCTATTGCTGCTGCTTGTGCTTCTTTTGTTGTTGATACTCCTCGCGGCTTCGAAGCCGTTGCAGGCCGGTTTGGGGTTGCAGCAGCAGCAGCGGCTGCTGCTGCTGCCGCTGTTTCTGCTGCTGCTGCTGCCACCGCTGCTGGTCCCGCTTTCGTCGTTGCTGCTGCTGCCACACCTGAGACTTCGTTCAAGACTGACGAAAGCTCAGTTATCCTGCCTGCTGCTGCTTCACTGTCAGCAACTGGTTGTGATGCTCTTGCTGCTGTGGCCTCTGCTGCCGTTGCTGCGGCGTTCGTCTCTGAGCCTGTCTCTGCTGCTGCTGCTGCTTCATGAGCTGTCTCTTCCGTGTTGGCAAGATGGGGGGAGGAGAGCAGCTGCAAGCCTTCATCCGATTCACTCTGGCTGCTGCAGCTTTTGTTGCTGCTGCTGTCGCTGGAGAGTTGCACCAGCTCGATTGTCTCTTGGCTATTTCTCTTGTAATGATTGCCTGCGTTCCATGTCCTGTGGGATGCGCTGCTGCTGCTGCTGCTGTTGCTACTGCTGGCGCCGTTGCTGCTGCTGCTGGACGGTGGGGTCTGCGCTGACGCATAAACACAGCCGTCGTCAGTTGAGAACGGCAGCTCCTGCTGCAGCGGTTGCTCCTCCTGTTGCTGCTGCCCTTGTTGCTCTTCCTGTTGCTGGTGTTGCGACTCAGTTGCTTCTTGATGGAGATCTCTTGGCGTGTTTACGCAGCTCAGGGGGGAAGGTGGGCAGCTCACTGGGGTGTACATGCACATCCCCGGGCTGTACGCGGAGCCACGCGGAGACGACACGTCTACAAAGGAAGCTGTATCCTCAACTGCGAGTTCTTCTGTCTCCTGCTGCATCTGCTGCCCTTCCAGCTGCTCCTGCTGCTGCACCAGTTCCACTGCATTCTGGTGCTGCTGCTCGTGCTGCTGATGTGCCTCTAGAGCATCTCCGTCTGCCCGCTGCTGCATTTGCTGCCGAGGCTGCTGTTCCTGCGGGTCGTCTGGCAGCTCCTGCAGCTGCTGCTGTTGCTGCTGTTCCTTCTCCTGCGGCGCTGCGTTCGGCTGCTGCTGCTTCTCCTGCTGATGCGTTTCTACGACGTCTGCGTCTATCCCTTGCTGCGTTGGCTGCCGAACCTGCCCTGGTTGTTGCTGGTCTCTCAGCAGCAGCCCTCCTTCTTGGTGCTCTGTTTGCTGTAGCTTGGACTCTTGAATTTGTTGCTTCTGCTTCTGCTGCTGCTGCTGTTGCTGCTGGCTTCCCGTCCAGTCTCGGTGGCTTTCCTCCCCTGGTTGATCCTCAGGTGGCTGCAGGAGCTGTTCAGCTTCCCGTTTCTGAGACTCTTCTAGCGGCAGCAGCAGCTCCTCTGGTGGCTGTTGCGGCTGCTGCTGGTGCGATTGCTGTGACTGCTGCGGCTGCGGTTGCTGCTGTTGTTGTTGCTGCTGCTGCTGTTGCTGTTGCTGCTGCTGCTGCTGGCCCTGTTTCCCCCTGCGATTGCAAGCCTCTGAGGGACAGCGGCAGCTGCTGCCCTCCTCACCGCACCGGAGAGCCGCAGCGAGGAAAGAATCGAGGAACGAGAGACCTTCTGCCAGGGCTTGCAGCCGCTGCATTTGCTGGCGAGCTTGTTGCTGTTGTTGCTGTTGCTCAGCATGTTGCAACTGTTGCTGCTGTTGCGGTCTGTGCTGCGCTTGCTCCAGCTTTTGCTGCTGCTGAAGTTGCTGCAGCTGAATTTTGTTTCTCACACGCTGTCTCCGCAGTCGGGAAAGCGCCTCCCTGATTTGCTGCGGCTGCTGCTGCTGCACAAAGAGCAGCTGCTTTAAAGGCTCAGGGAAGATGCAGCTGAAAGAAGGAGGCAGCAGTAGGGACCAACTGCCCACGCAGTCTGTCTTCCCCGCTGCTATCCACGCTGCTTCTGCTGCTGCTGCTGCTGTGGCTGTTATTTCCTCCTCAACCGCCGCTGTTGCTGTTGTTGCTGCTGCTGCTGCTACTGCAGTGCCACCCGCAGCGGCAAATCCACTGGGAGCAGCTCCCACACCGCTGCTGGTGCAGTGATTGCTGGAGCCCTCCACCGTTTCCACTGCCCGTGCAGCAAGATGTGCAGCAGGAACAGCAGCAGCGGTAGCTGCTACTGATGGGGCGGATGCCACCAGAGGACTTCGCACTCCTTCCTCTCGTTGAGATGTTGTTGACGGTTCTGTTGCTGGCAATGCAAGCATAGGGGCCTCCGCGCCTGCTGCCGCTGCTGGATTCCTGTCTTGTGCAGTAGCTGCAGCATCTCCTGCAGGTTCTGCAGCTTCTGTCCATGCTGATGTTGTCCTAGGAGATTTTACTGCAGTTGTTGTCTCTTCTGGTTCAAGGTTGCCGCCCACGCAGATGTACTGTTCATCTTCTGCTGCTGCTGCAGCAACTAACGGCAGCGCAGCCATACACCGGACGCGAGCTGCAGCAGGCAAAGCATTTCGTGCTGCACTTGAAGCCCACGACATTCGCAGCCGCGCTGGTGAAGCGGGTTGGCTGCCTGCTGTTGCTGCTGTTGCTGTTGCTGCTGCTGCTGTTGCTTCTGCTGCGGTGCGTCCACCAGTCAGCGCTGAGCCTCCACTTGTAAGGAGCGCCTCCGCAGTAGCAGCAGCCGGGGCCGCAGCAGGGAGACGCGGGCGCAGCAGATTCGAGAATGAGGAGACCCCTCTAACGGCAGAGGATATGTCTGTTGCCGCTTTGGATGGTGCTACCCCTGCTGCTCCTACAGCAACAGCAGGAGTAGCGGTCCCAACACACGGCTCACCTGCAGCTTCTTTCGCTGCGTATACAGGAGGATGGCGCAGCAGGGAGGAGCCGCATGCCCTGGCAATACCCCAAAGGGATAATACATCCGCTCGCTGCTGCTGGTGCTGCTGCTCTGGTTGCTTAGCTAGAGACGGTGACGACTTCTCTGTCGGCTCATCAGGTGCTGCATCTGTTGTTACTACTGCTGCTGCTGAAGGCAGGGTCTTCACTCCAGCAGCAGCAGGCTCCTCGACTTTGGCTGCTGTAACTGGGGCCTCCGCTGCTGCTGCTGAGAGTGCTGCATTCGCATCGGCAGCCGCTGCATCTGCTGCTGCAGTTGCTGTTGCTGGTGTTGGTCCCGCCGTTGTTGGGACGCCTGTCTTTGTTTCTAATTCTTCATTGCTTCCTGAAGCATCTTCTGCTGCTGCTGCAGTAGGGGAGGAGTGTTCTCCCGCCGGAGGCACAGACTGTCGGCTGTCTGCTGCAGCATCCGTGGGTGTTGCAGTTGATGCCGCTGCTTCCTGTGGCAGGATCCTTGCTGCAGAAAGTGGTGTGTCTGACCCCAGTGAGGTTGCCGATGGTGCTGCTGCTTCCCTCGTAGCTGCTGGGGGTGTTGCCGTTGTTGCAACTGCTGCCGATGCTGCTTCTTTAGGAGGGGGTTTTTCTGAATCCGTCAGCAGCGTCACAGCAAGCAATTGCTGCTGTAGCAGCACGTGTTGCTGTTGCAGCCTCAGTTGCTGCTGGTGGTACTGTAGTTGCTGCCACTGCTGCTGAAGCAGCTGCTGCGATAGCGGTTCAGAGGGCAACGTGGTGCCACTATCGGACGCTGACGACTGGTGTTTTGCATGCTGCTGCTCCTGCTGCTGCTGCTGCTGCTGGTCTTCAGCGTTCTGCTGCAGCGCTTCCCCTTCTTTGTCATTTTGTCGTTGCTGCTGCGATTCGAGCCGCTCCAGCTCCTGTAGCTGATCAGAGACACGCGGCCATGAATGCAGCGCTGGGAATGCCTCACTCGTAGTTGTTGCAGCCGCTGCTGCTGCTGCAGGCCCTAGGTCCCATAGAGCAGCAAGAAGACACTGCTGCTCCTGCTGTAGTCTCTGAAGCTGCTGCTCAACCAAAAGCAATCTCTGGCGCAATCGCTGCGAGAAGTCCGCTAACTCTGAAGGATCCTGCGGCAGCAGAAGCAGCGGCAGCAGACGCAACACAGGTATGGGCAGGCAAGAAACCAAAATCCAGCAGCAGAGGCAGTCTATTAGCAGCAGAGGCATCGCCTACACCACCCGCTGCTCCTGCTGCTGCTCCCCCTACCTGAGGCCTCCGCAGCAGCAAAGGCGTCGGCGGCGCTGCTGCTCCTGAATGCTTCCTTCCTTTCTGCAGCAGCGGCGAGTCACCAGCTTTCTTCGCTGTAGCTGCTGCAGCTGCTGCAGCTGCTGTTGTTGGTGCTGCTTCACCTGCCCCTGTTTTGCGTTTTCGCCCCTTACGGCCCTCCACTTCCGTTGCTGTCGTAGCTGCTGTTGCTGCCGCTGGCTTCCTGCTCCTCCCTTTTGCAGCCACAGAGGCAGCAGGTGAGTCTGAAGGGGCAGCAGCACATGCAGTACTGTTTGCTGATGCTGCGGTTGCATCGGCCTTCTTTGAGCTAGACGATGCAGGGAAATAAGCTATGATGTCCTGTGAGCCCAGCGATTTTCTCGTGCATTTACTCGGTTGCTGCAGTTGCTGCTGCTGCTGCTGTTGCTGATGTCGGTGCTGCTGCAGTTGCTGACAATTCGAAAAGGCGAAGACCTCAATGACACTGAAGTTTTCGTTAGCAGCAGCTGTTGTTGCAGCGTCACTTCGCTCTGCAGCAACAGCAGAATCTGCGGCCTGTTGCGCATTTGACCTCCCCGTTCGTCTCCTCTTTGCTGGTGGGGAGCGAGGCGGCGCTGCTGCTCCTGTTGCTGCTGCTGCTGCTGTTGAAGCAGACCTCGATGCCGTTAACCCTCTTCGCCGCCGCTGGGCTGCAGTGCTGCTGCTGCTAGTGTTTCTGCTGCTGCTGTTATTGTCGTCGTTGCTGTTGCTGTTGTTGCTGCTGTTGCGGTTTGTTGGCTGGTGCTCCTTGTCGCCGCCTTGCACCGTTTCCCGCTCAGCAACGCCTTGCTGCTCGCCCTCGAGCTTCTGCTGCTGCTGCTCATAGTGCTGCTCCTGCTGGGGTAGTTGCTCGCTGCCGTTATGTTGATTTTGCTGCTGCAGCTGAGTAGTTGTAGAGCGGAGCAGCGCGGCTAGCTGTGCCTCTACATCGCCGAGCGGTTCGTGCGACTGTTCCTTCCGCCAGGTCTGCTGCCCTTGTTGCTGCTCGTCGTGGGCCTGCTGTTGTCTTTGCTGCTGCTGCTGCTGCTGCTGCTGCTGCTGTTGCGGCGGGGAATTGTCGCGATCCTGCTCCTTCGGCAGTTCAGCTGAAAGCTCCTCAGGGTGTACGAGCGTATCAGAAGACTGAATGCTCATCGCGTCATCCAGACCCACAGAAGTCTAGTGCAGCTGCTGCTGCAGCAGCGCTGCCGCAAGCGCAAGTTCATACACCACCACATGCAACAAAAACCACCTTGGGGGGCCCTCAACCACCCACTGCCTCAGGAAGGGCCCCCTCCCCTCATATGTCTTCAAACCTCAGTCCCCAACTGCACAAAAAGGATATTTGACAGCTCCAAGACAAGGAAGAGACTGTTCTGCAGGGTCAACACCGACAATCTAATGATATGCTGCCTAAGCCCTACATGCCTGGGGGCCCCTAGGGGGCAATTCATGCTTTCCTGTAACGCACAGGGTATCGCTCACTAATGAACTCGGAACACTCTACTGTATCCAGACGCAAAATGCGAAAGAAAGCAAACAAAACAAGCTGGTTAGTGGTGAGGAAGTATTGGTTGCATTGCCAAGGCAAGGAGGCGCCTGCAGTACCCCCCAGCATAACACCAGTGGAGCATCTGAATCGCTAGTCCGTAACAACGAGTTTTTATTTGTTTTCCCTTATATGTTCTCCTTTGTGAGTGATGACGAGTGCAATGTAGGCAACAAGGTGTGTCTGCAAAACACCACATGCTAGGGAAACGCTCACAGCAACTCTAGTTATTTTGCAGCTTACGGTGTTGAAGCGCTTGAAATATATTTCATTCGCCATTTCGGTGTGTGGATTTTTGAGAATGGATCAGACAATAAAAGTGAGGCACTTCTTGGACTATCGTTGCGCTATCTCCCCTTGTGGGCGGTACTGTATTGTATAGGCTGGTCTGTAGAGAGGCACCAAGATTAAGCGGAAACTTGAATCTTATTGGCTTTTTTTTTAAATTCGTGTGTTCTATCCGTCTACGTGTGCGCCTTCCACCAGATGGCCTACCGTGAACGATCTTGGAAACTAGCTAGGGAATGCCTCAGCTTAGTATTCCCAGACGAATGGTGCTTCCCTGCTAGGCTCCTCCCTCAGCAGCTAGTGATGCGCATTTGCCCACCACAAGATGTGTTTATGGAACATCTGTTGCACGCAGCAGACGCCCCAGCTAATTCCATATGGGCATAACATACGACCATTGTCCGTTGCAACTTACAAAATTATCAGCTGGTTTCATGCGTGGCATGCTCAAGAACTGCCAAGGCGCAATTAAAACTAAGTATCTTGACTAAGTTCTTCTGGAGCGATCGCACCTCGGTACGCTCATCAATGGTAACGCAATATAGTGGCACTTTAATAAAGTGTGCGTCTGCCGGGAATCGAACCCGGGTCACCTCGATGGCAACGAGGTATTCTACCACTAGACCACAGACGCTCAGCGGTAGAGCTCGCCTGGTTGCAGCTGTGCTGCAAATTCAGGGCATTGCTATGTTCCTCCTAAAATGTGGATATGCTTTGCAGCAATGGAATAGTTGCCTTCTGTTGTCTCTAAAATGGGGTTGAAGCCCGTGGATGCATTTGCTTGTGTGCGATGTCGGTTCACATCTCAGTGGGCAGTGTATGCTTTTGTTATACAGGAGGCTTTTTGCTAAAGCCGGCTGACATTCGAGGGAAGCTAGTGAATTTCATACAGCAAAGCACAGGGGAGGGTTGTACTCGAAATAGAGAAAGCCTGCAGAGTCATCCGCAGGCAAGCAAGATCTCGACTTGCCCAAGTGTGTAAGGCCCCCTGCAGCTGCTCTTTCCCTCCATTCGTCCTCTCACTGCTGATCCAGCAGTTGGGGGCAGTTTGCTTTGCTCTAATTTGTGTTTTTCGTCGTTGTATCTGCCATCAAAGCCTTCAGGCTGAAGTGGCCAGTGGTTGGTGCCACAAAGAAGCGTACGGTCTGAGCAGGAGTGGCAGCAATCACCCAGATCTCACGGGAGAGTGAAACTGTGCAGAATATTTATCTAAGGCGTAAATGTAAAAGCACCTCATAGTTTTTTACAGTCTACTGCTCAGTGTTTTATGGCGCAGCCTTGGTAATGTCGTGAGGAGTCCGCTGGTAGTGTGAAGTTCTGCGCCAGGCGAGGCAAACCCTTTGCTGGCATCAACAGTAACGCATGCGTTTTCTTCCCACTTCAAGTTTAATTAAATAGCACCCATGGAATGCACAAAAGTGGAAAGGAAAACGAGCCGAATGGAAGGGCTAAAGAGGAAGAATAGCACACCATGACACTGTTGTGCGTACCTGTGTCGGCTTGCCCTACAGCGTGCAGTAGATATACTTCAGTTGGTGAGATACACCCAAAAGGTTGCACGCAAAGGGCGGCCCCGCATGTGGCATGGTTGTGCCAGGATTCTGCATCTCGTAACTATTCTCTACTGTCAAGTGTAGAAGGCAAGCAAGAGCTGTGCCAGAATACCTCATGTGTATGCCACCAGAAGTAACTATTGCTGCCTCTTTCCCCCACCCGTCTACCAGGTGTCGCAAAGGGCAGCAATTGAGCTTATGGGGGATGGGCGGGAAAGTGCCCACCGCGACAAAGATCCTAGCAGGCACATGCTACAACCAACGCCCAGATTGCTCCAGATGCTGAACTGCAATTCGTCACAGAAGCAAATACCCATCCGGATTGGTTATTCGTGTTAGACAACTCCTTGACAGTCAGTCTACATTTTGGTGCACTACTCTTACTCGAAGGGTAAGCGCCACGGCCGGTGGCTGCCTTTGCCTCAGCTGGTGAAACGACGGCTTGGAAGACTGAGGCTGCCATGTGATGCTGGAAATTTTCTGCAACAGCCTGGGCAAGCCGTAGCAGTCACTTGCTTCAGTTCGTTCTCCTAGAGTGTTTGTGGCAGCGGGAACACAATAAGTACAGAACAAGTGGACAATCACATAAGGGAAGCATAAGTTGCTCGCCTCAACGTTGCTAGTATGTCATAGTTAGCTAGAGGAGATTACCAACGTCAGCCAGGAACTGTCACGTACGGCAGGCTGTCAAGCCCACGTGTGGACGCCAGCATCCTACATGCTCTGATGCACGCAGCGAGAGCGTATTGGCGTGTACCAATGACAGGCGTTTGCCTCTTTGGCTCACTGGGGAACGTGGGTCTCGCATGGTGTGAGTAGAAGACAATCACTCTTTTAGCACGAGCACAGGACCTTTTTATGCATGGGAATGCTCAGAGGGCGGCTGCTCGCGGAGGCGGAAAAGGAAAACCAATACTCTCCCGCTGCATGCATTGCAATATGGTGGGGTCCACGCGTAATGGCAGAGCAAAAGTGTGCAAACCTTTCTGTTCCGGAACACTTTCAAGGAGTGTCAGGACTCTAGCGTAACTGTTCTCATATGAATATTGGGAATCAGGACTCCTAGCTGCAGAATGTGATGCGCATATTATGAAGCACCTAACACAGTCACAGTAAAAGGGCAAGTGAGTGAATTGCTCAGTTAGCTGCTTCGGTGTTGAGACTTAATAGCCCTGCTTTTGCTCTGCTTTCTCTTCCTATCCTTGTTATCTGCGTATGCATCGCATATGAAGGGGTAAGCCACATCATGTTCGCTGGCTCTAGCCAACGAGAAGTAACCTTCACCTAGGTGGTAAGCTGATCCCTTTTTTTCCATATTCCGCAGTGAAAATAGGAGCAGTAGAGCACCCTTCATAGATCAGGCGTATTCCATGCTTGATAATCCACGTTTTGCAGCCCTTTCCTCATTCAGTCAACGAAGACGGTCATGAAAATCTAAAAAAAAAACAGTTGGCTAGTTGGCTGTAAATAATTTTGTTGCTCATGCCACCTCTAATGAACTTTGTTCTTATTCGCACTAGTATAGCAGAGTTGACGAATATTTACAGGAGAGTTATTATTCTGCCCCCATCGTGCATTAGTAGCAACTGCCTCGAAGAGACAATCAGAAAACGATGGTGGAACGTTTACGAGGCCCTCCGAATCACGCGGCTCCAACATAAACCCGGCTGGACCGAAAGCCGGATTCACCTCCCGGAGCGTCCTGCAAATCGAGCTTCCCAATGAAATGAAAATTGCCTTCGTTGTCTTCTAGACACAACTTCAGATGCCCATCATGGGAGCGCCTCTGAACCAGGCAAGCAAAAGCAAAGTGCACTCCACTCTAACTATGCATGCCCATATGCATACACTACTCACACTCCGTATACACTGACCTTGCCTGAGATTGTTGCTTACCAAAGAAATCACAAGACCGGAAAGGGCAAGCGAAGTGGAAACCGCCAACACCTCGCTGTCTTGTAAAGATGTTTTCCGTTGCCGGCGTTGCATGGCTTTGTCGTCCAGAGTATGCACGATTCTGCTACCGTTTGCCAAAACAATGGCAATGCCATAAGAAGGAAAATCTCGAATAAGTGATCCGACGTTCCTGCTCTTGGCTTTAGCGTGTGCAGACCGCTGGAGTCGATGCCCTTCCACTTGGCAACTCCAAGGGTTTGAACCTGTGCTAGAGGCACTTGTGCTGTCGCTAGACTCAATCCCTTTGCTTTGGTCGTCTTCAGCCACAGACTTGGACACTAGCAAATCCCCTTCCCACGGGAATGTCCGTAAAAGGCGGCACGCGCGTTCGTGAATGTAACAGGCTTCCATGATGGGCGTTTCTGGATCGTGCCGAAGAAACTGCAGAACAGGGGAGGGCAATCGGATCTGGTCTAAAAGCACAAGGCTTCCCGAGCCTGTGATAGGGTCGCCATTCCTCTCATTCCACTGCAGCAACACCAACGAGTTGTCTGCTGTGGAAAGCAGCAACAGGCGCTGCATCATGGCCTCAAGAGACCGCGTCGTTTCTCCAAAGGGCATCATCTGTAGAGCCTGTATGACCGGGTCAGTGCCAGCGACTGAACTGAGATGTGGCGGAGCCAAGCGGGTGTATGTGCACCCGGTCAACCAAATATCCGCAAGTTCAAGGGTCATCCCACTGACGCGCTGCAGGGCAAGTAATACAGCACATTAAGGCGCAACATCATTGAGTGACTCACATGATAACGGTAGTTGGAGGAAGCTTCGTATTGCGGTGGGGAGCCAGTGAACAAGATTATTACCGGAATGGAGGGCATGTTCCACAGAAGGCGCAGCGGGGGGTCCCTGATGCATGATTGGCCTTCAGGGCGTGCCGGTGGGTGATGCAGGCACCTCAGGTTGACTGAGAAGACAGCCAGTAGAGAGGGTCCAGTAACAGCCCACAGGTTGCCCCAGAGAGGCTGCAGACGAACTGTGGAGAGCATGGTGCTGCGGCTGCGCGCTGTAGGTCGCTG